GATGATAATATACTAACTGGTGATTTAGAATGACAAGGTTTCAGCGAACCTTTTAGGGCCGATAGGAATTATGCTGGTGGTGGAATACTAGTGTATGTTTCGTTACAGATAAAAGCTACCAGACGTTTGGACTTAGAGTTTCCGAATGGCGAGTTAATATGGATACAACTTGATTTTACACGTAGTAGTATTTTATTATGTACCGTATATAGACCTCCTAACGCCAATAATATGTTCTGGGAACAATTTTGTACTTCAATAGAAAAAGCAATGGATTTATCGACTAAGCTTGTTATATTAGGTGACATAAATGTAGACATACTAACTGTTTCTAGGCAACACGTTTTATCGTATATTTTAACCAGTTTTAATCTGAGAAATGTTATAAATTCTCCAACACGGAAAACCAATAATAGTGCAAGTCTTCTTGATCCTGTCATTCTTTAGGAACAGATTACATGTATCGAATCATCAGTCTTACCTATAGATAGGAATATCAGTGATCATGAAGCATGCTTAGTATATATAGAAGTTTTAATCAAATTAAATTTATCTTATAAACGTGAAATATGGTGCTATAATCAAGCGGATTTTAATGAACTAAACAGGCGAATTGAACTTTTTTCTTGGAATGAAATGTTTATAGAATCGGAAAGTATTGATGAAGCATGTAACAAGTTTACTTATACATTTAAATGTATGGTTAGTGCATGTATCCCCCAAACAAGTTATTAGTATGAGACCTAATGATAAGCTGTGGATGACGACTCAATTGAGAAAATGTATTCGATTACGAGATAGGTTACACAAAAAATGTAAAATATTGATATAACTTGTTTTAAAAGAGCTAGAAACCAAGTAAATAATATGAAATAGCATGCACGAGAATCATTTTATGCTAATATAGACGGTCTTATTGATAATTATGTAGTATCAGATCCTAAATCATATTGGAAACTGCTGAGGCGGTTAATTAAATCAGGCGGTAAATCTAATGAAATTCCACCATTAGTTGATCCACAAAATGATAGTATTGTACTTTAAATAATTTGTTTCTTCTATCGCAGATTTGGATGACAGTGATGCTAGAGTTCCTTCCCTTGATCCTAGAACTAATTCTTCCATGGCTTCCATTCAATTAAACCATTCGGAAATAAAAGACATTTTGGAAGTATTAAAATTAGGTAACGCTCCTGGTACAGATGGTATTAGTCACCATATGTTACCACACTGCAAAAAATATATGTAAACCTCTTCAAATATTAACTGATATGTCATTGTCTAAATGTATATACCCGACTTTGTGGAAACAAGCTATAGTAATGCCCTTGTACAAAAAAAGATGATAAACATTTACCTTCAAATCACAGACTTATATCTTTACTATCAGCTATAGGAAAAGTTTTTGAACGAGTAATCGTCAAACATATCCACAACCACTTTTTTGAAAACTCACTATTTTATTCAAGACAATCTGGATGTATGTCTAATCATTCCACTGTGCATCAGCTCCTAATCGATATCTATCATAATATCTGTTTAAATCTTGAGGAAAAGAAACATACTTGTATTATCTTTTGTGACATATCAAAGGCTTTTGATAGAGTTTGGCATACGGGTCTGATTGAAAAGCTTAAATCTTATGGTATTACAGGAAATTTCTTGAAGTGGTTAATTAATTATCTACAGGCCCGACAACAAAAAGTTTTTATTGGTGAATCATTTTCGAATAGTCAGTTATTAAAAGCTGGGGTACCTAAAGGCTCGGTGTTGGGCCCGCTTTTATTTCTAATCTATATCAATGATATTTCCGAAAATTTAATTAGCATGTCTAGACTTTTTGCTGATGACACTTCTTTAATATTTGGTTCTAACAACTGCAACGAAATTGAACGAGTAATGAATCATGATCTTCAATATATAAATGCATGGTCCAAGCAATGTTAGTTACATTTAATTCTAATAAAACAGATGTTCTATTTATCTCAAATATTTTAAAAAATCAAGATCTGGAGCTATTGTTTGGCGACAGCATTTAATTTTTTTCTGAAAACCATAAGCATTTAGGGGTAACTTTTAGTGCAAATGCTAAATGGGGTGATCATGTTGAAAATATTTATAAAAGTGCTTCAAAACGGATAAATGCTTTAAGACAATTAACATTTCTGGCGAATAGGAAAGTTCTTAGTAAAATATATACATGTTTCATTCTACCTATAATGGAATATGCTTGTGAACTCTGGAATGGTTTATCTAAATTCCATTTTGATTTGTTAGAAAAACTTCAACTGGAAGCTGCTAGAGTAGTAACTGGGTTGCCAGTATATGCAAGTTCTCAATCTTTATATTTTGAAACGGGGTGGGACACTTTGAATATCAGAAGAGAACGAAGAAAGCTAACTTTATTTTACAAAACGCACAATAAACTAACACCGTCATATCTTTATACATTACTTCCAGGTTTAGTATGCGAAAGAACTCCATATCCCCTTAGAAATAACAATAACTATACCATGAATAACTATATTCTTTCCAATACTAGATCATCATATATACCAGCAACTACAAAAAAATGGAATAACTTATCAGAAACCACTAGAAATCAAACTACAGTTAATACAATGTAAATTCAAAACTGCCATAACTCCGGAACATCATAAACCACCGTGTTTCTTTAATTACGGACCCCGTCGCCTTAATATCTTTAACTAAACTTTGACACAATTGTAGCCAACTCAATTATGATCTCTTTCGTGTGAACCGTGTAGAATCTCCTTTTTGTGCCTCTGGCCACCCCTGTGAAAACTCATACCATTATTTTTTCCAATGTCCAATGTATAGGAACATCAGACATGAAATGTTAAATAAGTTGATACCCTATCATCCTGTGCACCTAGAGTTACTATTGTCTGGAAATGTAAAATTATCAAATGTTGACAATGAGCGTATTTTTGAAATTGTTCAGACTTTTATTTATTCAAGTGACCGTTTCTAAACAAAACTTCGTGTGAACAGGTATATGTTTCTTATCTGTCATAATCTCTTCTCTCCTAAACCTCTCATTCTGCTTTGTAGGTCTATAGAATAATTAATAGTGTTACTGGTTCAGCAAATTGTATATATATATATTTTCTTTTCAAACTGAAATAATTCCGCTGCATGGCACTTTGATATGTTACCTAGAAGGAACAGGAATGACTCGAGGAAGGATTCTAAGAAATGTGTTGTATATGGACAAACGAATAGCTGATGTGAAATGAATGTGTAGCTAGTGCGTGCCATGCAGTAGTTTGAGTTTAAATTGTTTCAAAATATTCATACTTTGAATTAACCTTTTGTATCATTCGAAATATACTCTATTCATCTCTATGATCTCTTCTGTCTTTCCAAACTCTCTCTTCAATGTTTCAAGAATATCGTGAATATCAGATTTAGTTACAACGAGAAGGAAAGCTGGGACTGTCCAGGTCCTCATCGATATTAGATATCGAACAAAAATACTTCCACAAAAGATGAATCTGACCACGCTGGACGTTGGCTTCATGTCATGTCATTATCAACTACGTAAACTTTCGTTAGGAGATATATATTTTCAGTATCGACTCTATTTTCAGGATCTCATTTGACAAAATAGACCCTTAAATTTAATCAAGATACAACATTTAAGTTATGACTAGTCATAACCCTTTCTATTTCTTAATCTTTTTTGCTACCATCGCAGGATGGTAGCTTTAGAATTGGTCCGTGTACCAGCCATATTGAGGGGTTTTCACATGGATATAAATAGTCTGTCAACTGATTGACTCGCTAACATACTTTACACGCAGTGATTGGTCACCTGCTGTCAGTGATGTCACCATTCGTAGAGGTACAAGTGGGGAACTTAATTGCAAACAAAATGTTATGGATAAAGTCAGAGAGATCCGCATGTTTATACAGGTTGTTGGACATTGTTCTGCTATTCCACGGCGGCGCTGTTGTTTGGTTATGGTAGGAAATTGATAAAATCAGAGAGCTCTGAATTGGCATATGTGTACCATTATGACGGAAAACCAGGACCAAGTGCTTTAATGTGTTTCTTTCGTGTTTTTAAATGCAACTACCTTAATAAATGGATATGACATGAATAAAAATGTGTTTGAGCACAAGTTTATATACAAAAATATACATTGCATTATGATTTAAAACAGAAATCCAAAACATACCGAACATACCGGTCCTGACGTTATCAGTCCTAGTTTTAGTAAAAAAGCAAAATCACAAAAGCCGCGTAATAACAAGTAAAAACAGTATTTGAAACATATCTTTTTTTGATTATATTTATACATTTAGTATGGTGTTCCTACATGAAAAAACAACATAAAATAAGCTTTAAAATTGGGTTACTTAAAATAAATATTCGGTCCCGGTTTTCCCTGTCCTGGTTTTAGTAATGATTGTTTTGGTCCTGGCAGGATTTGGGTCACTAAATCAAAAAATAAAATTTGATTTTCTTATTCATGTGTAAGTATTGATATGTTCTTTTCAATTATATAACAGAAAATTTTCTAACTTGCACAATAATTTAAAAAATAAAATAAAAAAGCATGCTGGTTCTGACAATCCGGTTCTGGTATTAGTGTGACCTGCTATCTTACGTTGTAATTGTCATTGATTCTTATATTCTAAGTAGTACAGTCATTGGTTGCATGCTATTCATGTTATCTCTTTCTCATTGGATATTGATGCCCCTGCATGCTAGGGCATTTATATACACTAAATCACATATATTTTAAATAAATCCCCAGCATAACTACTGGAGCTTCTACATACCCATTTATCCCAATGTTTACTGTAACGGCTTACTAGTGAATAATGCTGTTGGTAAGCCCTCTTAGCTTTTTGGAAAGCTAATACTTGTAAATAATGTAAATTTGGTAATACTTAACTTCTACTTTCACTTTCACATTTTTCATTTCCGGTTAAAAAATACGAAACTGCGAAACTAGTTGGTTGACGGGTTTAATTTGTTGATTGGTGATGTTAGGGCGTAAATTATGTGTACTATATTTAGCACTGAAAATCAACAGTCTGTTGCGATAAAAGGAAGTGTAATAATGTCAGTTACGCAGTGTGATAAAAGCAAGAACACTTCGCCAGTATGGCAAATTCAGGTATACTAGTTGTTTTTATAATGTAAATAACATAATATGAGCTCGTTTAGAGATTATTATTATACGTACGCGGCTGATCACGGAATTAGATTCGTGGTCTGATCACAGGGTCACGTTACAAATGTCTGAAATACACATATGCTATACTGATACGGGTCACAACACACATACATGTATGTTTATGTGTGTTGTGACCCATATCAGTATAGCATATGTGTGATTGTAACGTGCCCCTGTGGTCTGATCTACTGTTAGGAATCGGTTGGGATTTCGACATCGATATCGGTTATGTCAACCGATCTATTTTTAATTATTAATCGGTTAGCCTACCGTTACATAGAATCGGTTGGGATTTCGACATCGATATCGGTTATGTCAACCGATCGATTTTTAATTATTAATCGGTTAGCTTACCGTTACATAATCCTTAAAGATATATTACATTTTTTAACAATGGCATGGCTTTTCCTTTTGTTATACTACTAATGAAATTTCAACGTTTCCTCGTAGTTTCGTATCTTTATTTCTTATCAAAACATTTTCAATGTAACAATCTTTATTGATAAACAGTTATCATTTATATTTTTTGCAATTAATTATATTTGAATAACATGATTGGTAAGAAGTTATAGTTAAGGTCATAGGAGTGTATTGATAAACGGAAATAGGAAGTACATCCCTAGTTGAAAATCCAATGTAGGGAGACAGTATCACAATATCCGCATATTCTAATGTTTAATATTAAACTGATGAATATTGTATGTTTATTATTGACAGAACAGTGTGTTCTCTCAATATTGAAGTATTACAAAGTAATCCAGGGATTAATTCAGGTGTTTTTTTTTATCAATGAGTCACATGTGTCCATTGTTCTGTACTTCAGGAAACCGGCTACCTATTTCACTACTGTGAAGATTTTCAAGAACGATAACTCTTACATGCAATTACTATATGTATATGGTTTTATTATAAAATGTTAATTTTTAATCGTTTATAGATAATTAATTTTACGCAATTTCAGCATTTATTAACTTGATATACATTAATGCAATACTAATCTATGTCAGTATCATTTTTATTGACATTATTTTGCCAAAATTTGCGTCTTTCATTTTTTTTTCAAAATTCACTCCTTTTTACATAAATTTCCATTTAAAATCCTTAAAATTGTGACAACCTATATATTTTTTGTGGCAGAAAATTTTCTTTACTTCAAAGCAATATAACTACAAAATTTGAAGAAATTCTATTGAGAAATTGTCACACAATCCTATTACCTTAAGTGTAAAATGACACAGAACTTCCGTTCTCTCTTAGTGAAAATGAAAGTAGAACTCGCACTTCCGGATTTGAATTACGAGGCAAATGCTTTTTAACATAACAAACAATATGTGCTGGAGTCCATGGAAACCTGAGTTACAGCTCTTCAAACCTCAATTGATTTAACAATTACTAATTAAAACTCCCTAAGTTATTCATACTCTTAAATAGTTAATCTGTATCACCTATCAATTAGACACCTATATTAAATATGTTAATTGGAGAAAACTTATATAGGCTATAGCTTGTTGTCTAATCCTTTTGTTTTGGAAACTATATTACCTTACAATATCATTGAATATGTTGTCTATTGTAAGCGTACACAAATTATGTTTCATCACGTCCACAGGCAATAACTTTTAACAGGATGAGAAGTTATAAAAGCTTAAGTTTTTCTTTCAGGTGATAGTCATGTGTGTGTGCAAGCAGTGGTTTATCAAGGGGTTTGTGAAATGGAACCTGGGATGAAATGGGTGGAAAAAAATCATTGATATTTTGAGAAATTTGAACGATCATAATTACAAGTCTGAACTCTGTATATATGAGATTGTAAGGGGGGAATTCGTAAAAATCACACCCTTTCTTATTTTGAATGAGGGTGTATATATAAATGTTCTATATAAAATAACTGTGTTTTATGGCAATGATTTCAGTTGATATAAGCAGAGCAATGTCACCAGCATTGACCAATACACTGCGACATAATGCTAGCTATCCAGGATTTACACCTAATGACTTTGTCCATCACAGACGAGCAGGATCGTCGGTTGACATAGCTTTTGATCTGCAAAGAGCATCGCAGCCACCGTACCTGCATTTATTTCCTAGAATGGGACCATCACCCACCTTTTCTGTTAACTCTAGCATGAGTTCATTACAAAGTAATGCCATTGGACAGAGTACGCATTCGTCCCTTACTCCTAGGCAACATAGCGGTAAAGTGGAGAACAATCCAGATCATGTACAGGTACCCTTAGATGATCTTGAGACAGACTCTGGGTTAACGTTGGACCCTGTAAAAAACTATCCATCTGAACATGTGAATGATCTTGTGACCGACAGTGAAGACAGACCAGATGACCTTTCATTTGATGAAATTTCACTCCTATCCAACAATACATCTCTCTCCAGTACTGGCATATTTCCAAGCAGTCACGATCGTAGTAGCTTTCGTTTTGACGACAAAAATGTCAGCAAAGATAATAAGAAGCAATCGTCTCCGTTGAAATCGTCTGCATCAAATGAGATGCAAACAAATGGGGATGATTTAGAGGTAGATGGACATGCAGGAACAGAGGTGAAGATGTGTGTAGAAGCACTTGACATGTGGCCACAGGAAAATGGGTGTGCCTATAAAACCAAAGCCGTGGACATGGGCAGAAGACAGGCAATAGTAAAACCGTAAGTCATTACCAAGCTCCACTATAACTAAGTTCTTATCACGAAAAATCAGGTTGACAATGCTATGGACAATACAAAAGCAGTTGTGTATATATATATAAACATGTATGTGTGCTGTCAAACATCATTGCCACAGTATGCATTAAAAGTATTGTTTTCATGATAGACTGTTGAAAACGGGTATGTACTAAGATAAATAGTGATATCAAACTTTTTTGAAATATGTACAGATGTATCTTTGATTTAATATTTTAAAATTTCATTGGACAGTTTCTAATGTCAAAACTCGGATGTAAAATGTAGCCGCGTTCAAAAGCTATACTTCTAGAAAGATGTCTGTGTGTACAAGATTACATTTGGGTGTTTTAATTAGCAACAAGGTTCTCTTGGCAAGAAAGAAACATCTCTTTATGTCAAGAACTGAGTAAATTCTACTATCATGGAGCCATACATGCTGGCTTGCAATATATATTCATATGTTATAGGCGTTTCAAAACAGTAATTATAATCTAACCTCTTATCTTATCCATTATAAATGCCATCCTGACCCCGGGGCCTGTATTCATGAAACTGTTTTCATGCTTAAGCATGAATTTTATGCTCAAGCTGAATTTCTTATTTCATTATAAATTAATAGAAATATATCGTTTTGTCAAGGATTTGGAAAAACATCCAGGAGACTTAATGCCAAAAACTGTTTTAAATGTTTGCATTTGAATTTTTGATCGTTTGACATGATTTAAGTGAGTAACAAGAAACCTAGTTTGAGCACAGAATCCATGCTTGAGCATAAAAGAGTTTCTTGAATACGGGAAGGGACTCCCAAAACAAATCGCTTCAAATTTATTCAATTGTTTTGTTTTGGGTAGCTAGTATGTATAAATATACAAAGCATTGAGTTGTTGGCTATAGTGTACATGTACTGAAATGGCCCATATTTTTAAGGGGAATTTTGTACATTAATTTTTGCAGGACTGTGAACAAGATTGCCAGAATATCCAAGGATGTTATATCAACAGAATACAAACATGACAGTTTGCATAGAGGACGATGTTTAATTATCAGTAATTCAGAGTTTCGAGCTAAAAGAGATCGCTCCAAAAGGACGGGATCTTTGAGAGATGCAAAAACTCTGAGAAAACAATTTCAAACTTTGGGGTTTCATCCAATAACGTGCTCAGACGGATCGAAAGAAATGATTCATGAGAACGTGTCGCGAGAAGAATTACTTCAAATATTGTCTGAAGGTAAGTGATTTATCGCTGTTTAACTATAAATTGTGGGCACTTTGAGCTGACATCATTGCTATACATTATTCGTTTGTTGTACTAAATTACTTAACGCAAGATTACAGCTGTATACATATGGTCTGTTCATTACATGTACAGTGAATGAAAAGTGCTTATATTTGTGTAACAACAGAGGTAGTTATTTTTTCCATGTCACCGCTAGGATTCAAATCCGTGACCTCTGGCTTGCTAGCCTTGCACTTTACCAAATGAGCTATAGAGAAATTTTCACTAGCTGAGGCAGTAGGAAGCAGCTGGTATTTTTACCAGAGTGACATTTGCTTTGGTGTTTTATTTATGGTATAACCCTTTCACCTCTAAGTAACTTTGGTAGAGTCTTCCATGCATTTATAGGGATGAGTCCATTATGGTCTACAGTGGTGAAAGGGTTAAATCCCATTCTGGGATTCATAAAGACAATCTGTATAAACTGTTATTATTATATGTTTCATAGATTAGAAGACTTGTTTAGTTATAATACTTCGCACTCGTGGTTGATTACAGCTAAACCATGTTTTCATATTCTACTTTCAGCCACCAATCCGTTGTTGAATGACCACTCAGACTTTGACTGCTTTGTATGTGTGATCTTGTCGTACGGAGTAGCAGGCGCTGTAGTTTGCCCAGGAGAGACGGAGGATGTATTCGTTGAGATAAACTCCATTCTCGAACATTTTACACCTCAGCAATGTCCATCTCTTGCCATGAAGCCCAAACTTTTCTTCATTCAGGTTTGTTACTGTCCAAAAATGAATATATAACTAGTCTGTTACCTTGAACATTTGTGTCTGTCTTGTATATATGTATAAAGAAGTATTGTGCATTGTTTCTATTGGGTTAAAATTTACCTCACTTAAATATACATGAACTGGTGTACACACAGTATCTCAACAGTGCTATTATAGTGGTCTTAATTTACAATATTAAAATTATGTAGAAAATATCCATCAAATGATGATTATTTAGGGTTTATTTACATAATAGTACAAGTGTTACATCACACTACCAGGTAATTTATTTCACTGCCGATTTATCTATAGAAACGACAGTTTAGAGTAATCCAGTTATAGAGAAAAATTCTCATGTCCCACGCCGTGAGACTTTATCAGAGGTGAAAATCCATGAGATGTTGCCTCACGCCCTGAGTTCTGGCATGTATGAGAATTTGTTTATGCATTCGATATTCTTTTATGGCACATCCACGATTTCAGTCATTAAGGGCCAAACAACACTAAATTTAAACATTCACAACAAGGAGTACATCCAACTTGAACTAACAGGTGCAAAAGTAGCAATAGCAAACAAACTGGTTGTATATCATATCAAATATCTTAACATAAATATCCATTCAATGAAGATCATCATATATTTATGCCACAGAAAGTGTATCAAACAAAGTTTTCATAATCAACGCATTATAAACCTAAGAAGCCCGCCCTATCTACTTTCTCATTTCAACGTATTTCAGCAAACAGGGTCTCCAAATTAAGATTTGGTACGAGAGCGAGGGCATTTAAATCGATCCTGTCGATACAAATTTAAAGGACGGTGTTCTTGGTGTATTAGCATTTTGAAGTACTGACAACGAGTCAGAGCAGATTATGGCTCTTTTGATTTTGTTTCCAATTTGATCCAAAGCCCTATATCTTTAGGAAGCTTGTAATTTTGCTCACAAGAAGAATAGGCATTGTTTGTAAATTGTATAGTATGTTAGACAAGTAGCAGGTCAAATTAATTACACAAATCACACAGTGTTTTTGTTACCTAAATTTTACAACAGCCTGTTCATTTATAAATTGGGAAAATATAGCATTTTTTGTATTGAAATTGGGAATATATTCCTCAGTTTCGGGTAATTTTGGGAAAATAAGGCACTTTTTAGCAAGGGGAAGCAGCCTGTGAATTCGGCAATAAAACTGATCACTGAATCAACAACTTGTGAAAGATGCAAATAAAACAGAAAGTTACCTTTTGAAATTCATCCCAGTATTTTGTCGATGTTTCCTTATTATAAACAATAAATGATTAAAGGCTTTTACCTGTATTTTATGTCCTACAGGGCTGTACACCATATGTCATTACTGAAACACAAGCAATGGCTTCCAGTAACTCCTCAGAGACAATGTATCCTACGGTGGCAAGTTCTCTCCCTTCAATGGCAGATTTTCTCGTACAGTTTTCGGGAGTAGATGGTATGTATCAAGTATGTCATAATCTGTAGTTTAAACATATGTCATTACAACACAAAACCACCAATGGATGATTGGGCCCAACTTTTTACCACATTATCAATGCCCTCTCCAATCATCATATAAATATAAATATAAGATAACGGCATAGAAGGATACATATACAAAGCTTGCTTCGATGAATTTGAGATTACACAATCATCGTAAATTGTAAATCTGTTGCTGAGCTTCATGTCAGTTTGAAAAATGATTTGTATGAAAATATTCACATTCCTGTCCAAAGTTAGATTCCTGTCATCATGAAGTAGGATTCCAATGTCAATATTGTGATTAATACCGTGTATATATATGTTAGTGAAACTAAAAAGAATCAGATCACTTTCACATGCAAGGCCACAGCAACACTTTGAGCTTTATCTGCAATATTATTAATTAGGTAGGAGTAATTTTAAAGTTTTCTTTCACTCAACCTTGATACTCCTGGGGTTACGCTCACTTACATTCTCTGCACCCCTGGAATATGTGATTGTAAGATTTAAGGCATAAAAATAGCTGTTTGATTGGTCTCGGGTAACAAAAACCTAAAAGACAACCACTAGGCTGATATCAGTCCTTTGAGGATCACAGAGGAGAGACACCCAACTTCAAGACAATATTCAATATTCTTTTGATGTTCATCAAATGATTGGACTAGTCTTCTTGTCTCATCAACAATATAGCTCACACTGAGCCTTCAATTTTGTTATGACATATTCCAGGGGTGCAGAGAGTGCTTACAAGTGAACGTAACCCCTCTGTTATCAAAGTTCCCTTTCACCTAAAGTGAAATTATAAAGTGTGGTGGAGTAAAATCTTTTGTATTAGAAAACAAAACCTTATTGAATAAACATGAATGGTATGTATGTAATAATCTGTGTGGTGAAAGACATATATATTGCCACAAATTAATATGCAAAAATAAAAAAATCAATCTATGTAAGATAGAATTTGTTCTCATTTTAATAATGTGATAATTTTTATAAAGAGCATTCACAATATTTATTCATTGCAAAGCAAATTAATTTTTATAGATAGCATTCCCAATATTTATTCAGTGCAAAGAACATTTTAGAAAATCGAACAAAAAGTTTTCTATGGAAAGGGGACCTTTACAAATTAAGTATTCAGATTGATATTTAATGACATTTCTTTGACTTTCAGGCTGCCTCGGCTGGGCAAGGAATAGACATCGGGGGTTATCCTTTTATGTGCAGGCCCTGTGTAAATGTCTGAAAGAATTCTGTATCTTGAAACTGGCCAAAGGTCAGAAATCACAGGAAATGACTTCTCTTATTCTCAGTATCAATAGAGCATTTGTGCGTATCTTAGAAGATGATGACCTTATAATTGATGAGGTGTTCTGTGTGCCAACAACAGTTTCTACCTTAACAAAGCGCATGAATTTCTATCCAAAAATACCTGAAAATGACCTTGATGTGGATACAGGTTAATCTTCGAAAGTGTATCTGTAGCTCATCAGCCTATACATTCTGACTGATTGAAAACATTGGATTTGGCCAGAATCACAACACCAAACTCTAAAATTGATTTACTTTCAGATCAAATTTTGCAATGTTTAATTCATAATTAGGTTAGGAGCATGTAGACATGTATTAAACCCTTTCACCACTGTAGACCATAATAGACTCATCCAGATCAGTTATGCATAGTAGAGTCTACTAAAGTTACATATAGGGTTGAAAGGGTTAATTAGTCCGAATGTATGTGCCAGTTAATTATGAGCTGCATATATTAAGGGTCATCAAAAACAATTGGCCATATTTATTGATGGATGTTCAAGGAATAATCTTATGTGATGATATATATATGATCTTTTATGAAAATTTGATATCCGGAAACTTGAGAGTGAGGAAAAGTGTCAAATATGAAAGTATGCTGTTTGCAGATTCATAGACATTGATGAATATATGTAGCAGAACTGGACTGGGAAAGTATGCCGTTTGCACTTCCATAAATATGATTCATAGACATTGACGAATATATGAAGCAGAACTGGACTGGGTCAGTCACTGTGACCAGGTAGCTGAATTGGTGGAGTGTCTGTTAGGACGGTCCAGGGTTTAAATCTGGTCTGGCCTTGCATTTCTCTCCTGTTACATTGGCACCATGGGTTGTAAAGAGCGATGGCAAAGACTTAGAAAAAGAGAAAGGAATGTAGCAGAACTAAACTGGGTTGATCACCGGCTACCATCTGGTAACTCGATTGGTAGAGCGACCATCTAGAGTTTGGAGGGTCCCAGTCTGGTCATGCATTTCTCTTTCCTCTCCTGTTGCGTACAAAAACAGACTGATATTTGTATATTATAATAAACTTGGGTTGTGCAATTTTACTGCCACATTTTTTAAAAAAGCTTTCAAATAATTTGATAATTAAATTATTGAAGGCATGCAGCTGGCTATTTGATTGGTGAAAAAAACACCAATTGCAGACTGCTCCCTGTTCTTTGAAGATTACAAAGGAGCGACACCCGACTTCAATTTTTAGCTCACCTGGTCCGAAGGGCCAAATGAGCTTATGGCATGGTGCGGCGTCCGGCGTCCATCCGGCGTCCGTCCGGCGTCAACTTTTTACTTTAAACAACTTCTTCTCATTAACCAAAAGGCCTGCGGTGATGATATTTTGCCAGAAGCATGCTGGGATGAAGGGCTACCAAGTTTGTTCAAATACATGACCTTGACTTATATTCAAGGTCACAGGGGTCAAATATGTTTAAAACATTTAAACAACTTCTACTGAATAACCAAGAGGCCTAAGGTGGTGATATTTGGCCAGTAGCATGCTGTGATGAATGGCTACCAAATTTGTTCAAATAAATGACCTTCATCCATTTTCAAGGTCAAATATGTTTAAAACCTTTAAACAACTTCTTCTGAATAACCAAAATGCCAAGGGTGATGCTATTTGGCCAGTAGCATGCTGGGATGAAGGGCTACCAAGTTTGTTCAAATGAATGACCTTGACCAACTTTCAAGGTCACAGGTGTCAAATGTCTTAAAATCTTCAAACAACCTCTTCTCAATAACCAAAAGGCCCAGGGTACTGATATTTGGCCTGTAGCAATCAGGGCTACCAAGTTTGTTCAAATTAATGACCTTGACCCACTTTCAACCTAATGTCATTGTTTGACATTCAAGGTAACACTGATATTCTGCCTGTAGCTGTATTTTAGTCCACTTTTAAGTTTACAAGTGTGAGATTAATACCAGGTGAGCGATGCAGGCCCATTGGGGCTCTTGTTTTGCTCTGAGTTGAAAAAGAAATATAATTTTATACCAATTATGTTCATGCGTCACACCGCTCCTGGTTTGGACCGCAAATTGCGGAGAAAGTGAGGGGTGTCTAAGCACATTAAATTTATTGTCATTTCGAAACAAGTTTAACAATTGAAAAAACTTTTTCATAATTTAGTACAGATATATTTCAACTTTTAATTTATGAAGTTTCAACTTTAAAAACTTTTTTTTTTTAATTTTAAGCAATTAGATATAAAATTTCATTTAAAATCAATTTAAAATCTGAAATTTTATTCAAAAATTGTATTAAAATTATCATGAAGCAAATATTTTCTAGTGCACTGCAGACCTCCTGTAGGTGATGCAACCATACCTGAAGTTTCATCATGATATCTTTAATGGTTTAAAATTGATGACATGGACAAGTTGTGATAAGAAGAAGCAGAAGAAGAACCAGTACTGATACAATGTCTCATTCGAAAGGGAGACATAATTATAGATGCCAGTACCCTGTATACATATGCTCTCTTTAATACTTTGAGGTAGACCTCCACTAAACTGTACCCCCAGGACACCCTTGACCAATAATTACCTGCTAAGTACCTAATGACCCCCCAGTGTGTGTCTAAACCAATGTGATCTTTAAAAAGTGGTCTTTCAGACTGCAAAAAATTAGACAGACTGAGATTTCATTTTAAAAAGTTATACACTGCTTTTTTGAAAATTCAATTTTTGATTAATAATAATGTCCCCAGACCTACAAATTAAAAGTGATCATGATCAAATTATGGAAAACAAAAGCCTGTTGACTGCTTTTTAGCTTACCTGCCTGAAGGGCAAGTGATCATGAGCTTATGCCATGGTGTGGCGTCAGTCCGTCTGTCGGGCGTCAATTTTTTACTTTAAAGAACCTCCTCTCAGTAACTAAAAAAAGCCTAGGATGATGATATTTGGCCAGTAGCATGCTGGAATAAAGGGCTACCAAGTTTGTTCAAATGAATGACCTTCATCCATTTTCAAGGTCACAGGGGTCAAATATGTTTAAAACCTTTAAACAACCTCTTCTGAATAACAGAGAAACCTATGGTGATGATATTTGGCCAGTAACATGCTGGGATGAATTGCTAACTAGTTTGTTCAAATGAATGACCTTGACTTGTATCCAAGGTCACAGGTGTCAAAACCTTTAAACAACCTCTTCTGAAAAACCAAGAGACATAGGGTGATGATATGTGGCCAGTAACATGCTGGGATGAAGAGCTACCTTGTTTGTTCGATGAATGACCTTAACCTATTCAAAGTCCCAGGGGTCAAATATGGTTAAACCTTTTAACAACATCTTCTGAATAACCAAGATGTAGATGTAGGGTATTAATATTTGGCCAGTAACATGCTTGGATGAATTGCTACCAAGTTTGTTCAAATGAATGACCTTTACCCATTTGCAAGGTCACAGGGGTCAAATATTTCAAAATCTTTAAACAACTTCTGAATAATCTTAAGGTCAAGGGTAATGATATTTGTCCAGAAGCATGCTGGTATGAAAGGCTATAAAGTCTGTTCAACTTAATGTCATTGTTTGACTTTCAAGGTCACATGTATGTCACATGTTTAAATCTTTTAATAGATTCTTTGAATCAAACACTGATATTTTGCCTGTGGCTGTATTTTAGTCCAAGTGGAAGATTAATACCAGGTGAGCAATCCAGGCCCATTGGGCCTCTTGTTATCATGATGAAGTCGTTAGAATTATTCCGTCATCACTGTGTCATTAACAACAAGGTTTGTATGGTGACCCTGTGAAAATTGGCTCATGGCTGGGGGTAGGGGTAGGAAAATGACTATTTTGTCCAGTTTTTGGGAAAAACAATATAAAATTTGGGTTTCAACTTCATCTTTGATATACAATACAGGATACAAAGTCCAAAACTGAAATTCAAAACTTACACCAAGATACACTTTTAGGTCGTTGTACACGAAGGTAGTGCATAATGACATTTCAGGTCACTTTCTAAATAATTTTTCCTGTCTGATCTTTGACAGATTTGTATTTTGTTTTTTTTACATAGAATTGTTCAACAATATCTTTTCTAGTGATTTAATTTTTTTGACACAGCTTTCAAGTATGTATTTGCAGCGGGACATAATAAGTGATGAGTCTTGCGCATTGATGTTTGGTGATTTTTGATATTTTCCCTATACATGCAGAGTAGTTTCATTCAAATGAAATTATCTTTCTTAAATGTCGGTCTTGAGGTATTTTCCAGCTCACTAGGTTCAGTTTGAATAGATCTACAATATGAAATAGGAACCATGAGACCCTGCACAAAGTTTTCAAATATTTTTATTTAATTTGACTTGGTAGTAACATATATATATATATAGTAGAATTAATTGTGGTCTGAGGCCTGCATGATATCGGCGAGTGACTAATCAACAAAAAGATGCAGTTTGGAAATCATGTGATTCCGTTTTCGGTCCGGATCAGTACGGTTTGTTGATTAGTCACCCCATGACCTAGAAAAAAAAGCGTTCGCTCAGGTGGGAAATTTTGAACGATTGAAAATCGAGGACTCTACTGACGGAATTAAGTTCATATAGCAGTGTGCTCTGGCCCCGCACCAGTCATCTATATGTCAAAATGCCTTAGTGTGGTGTCAGGGCCAGAGGAAACGCTGGCAGACAGACAGACTGATTCCGGTACACCCCCTCCTAATTTTGTTGCGGGGGTATAACAAGTCATACAAGAGAAAGGCAAATACAGTCTCTGCTCTTTTTAGCCCACCATCATCTGATGGCGGGCTATTCAAATCGCCCTGCGTCCTTAGTCCATGGTACATCCGTCCGTCCATGGTCCGTCCATGGTCCGTGCTTAAACAATTTGTGTTATAGATATTTCTCCGGAAGAACTGGAGATATCTTCCTCAAATTTTAAATGTAGATTTTCCTTGGTCCCTTGTTGTGCAGGGCAACTTTTGAGACTGATTAGATAAACAACATGGCCGACAGGCAGCCATCTTTGATTTTGATAGTGAAGGTTTGTTATCACTATTTCTCAGGAAGTACCAGAGGGATCTTTCTCAAATTTATATATGTAGGTTCCCCTTTGTACGTAGTTGTGCAGGTTAACTTTTGGGACTGATCGGATAAACAAAATGGCCGACAGACAGCCATCTTGGATTGTGACATTAAAGGTTTGTTATCACTATTTCTCAGGAAATACTGGATGGCTCTTTCCCAAGTTTGTTGTGTAGGCTCCCCTAGGTCTGTAGTTGTGCATGTTTAATTTTGAGACTGATCTGGTAAACAAATCTATGATTTTGACAGTTAAGGTTTGTTAGTGCTATTTCCCAGGGGGTACTGGAGGGTTCTTAATTTCATATGCAGATTCCCCACTATCCTTTATTGTTCATGTCTTCTCAGGAATAAGTAGAGGGATCTGTCTCAATTTTGATATGTACGTTGCCCTTGATCACTCGTTGTGCATGTTATATTTTGAGACTGATCATAAAAACAAAATGGTTTAAAGGAACAACTAAACAGATCTTTCTTATATTGAAATGATCCATTCTATTTCTTTCTCATTAAATACTGTACTAGTAACTAGTACTATGTGAAATGACAAACTCACTTTGAAGGTTGTCTTTTATACACAGCAGTATTTAGTTTAGATCAACAGTTACCTCAAGGTGCATTTACTGTTAACATGACTCGATCAAACAGATTAGAGAAAAGAAGAGAACAGATCGCACTGACAAAGAACTCATAAAGATGGTACAATGGTGGGCGCCAAGATCTCTCTGGGATCTCTTGTTTCAATGTCTAAGATTACCCGATTACAGGTTTGATATTGTTTTTTTGTTTGTTTACACATTGTTTCTAATAATTGTGCAAAATCAAAACTTGCAATCTTTATAAAAAGAGGTCTGATGTCTGTAAAAGGGGGTAGTGATAAAGCCCTTTTTTGTGCTACATGTATCTGCTGTTTTATGTTCAAATGTGTTGAGATGTATCTATAGTAGAGGCAGGGAATCCGAATAGATAACTGATCTCGGGACATCATCTGGTTTTGTATGTGTAGCTTTTACATAATGTCTTGGCAGCC